GCTGGGGAAAGTGTCGAACAAGGTAAGCGGTGAGTACGCTTAGAACCTTTGCGCTCATGTTTAGTCGGCTCTCTTTGAGACCTGTGCAGCTTGAGAATAACAGCTCCTGCAAGCATGCAAGCCGCTCGCGTGTTGTGTGGTCCTGAGAGTGACGCATCAGCGCCCCATCCACTCAAGACCCGAGCGACCTTCCTGTCCTTCCGCGCCGTGTTCGTGATGTAGGCGAAGGCCTTGTTGGTCTTCGTCATATCCCAAGCTCCTCGGTCAAAGATCCATTGCGCTGCAAGTAGGTCGTCGCCGTTCGCGTGCTGTGCACCACCGCGGCGGAAGGAATGGGAGGTGAGCTCTGCCGTGACACCTGCCGGTTCAGCAACGCGCTTGAGCAGTCGATTAACAAGGCCTTGCATGCTGTCTTCTCCGCGCTTGACCCCTTTGTCCAACGAGGTGGGTGGCGCCCCGATAGTGCTAACGGTCGGTTGTATGCTTGTAGGTTGGGGCACTACTTCAACTTGGAGAGCCTCGGGAACCTGTCACAGTAGGTCGTGGAGCGGGGCACCAGTATTAAGTGGCGCAGCATCCTGCGGAGCCAGCGTCGGTAAGTGGCCAAGAAGGGACGCGCTTGGAGCTTCTTGCGTCACAAGCGCCACGGCTAGCGAGTGCAACGGGCACGTCAGGAAGTCGTCCTTGTCGGGGATCAGCGTGAGGCCCTGCTCCTCCGACGTCTTCACCCGAAGAAGACGCAAGTAGAAAACGCCAACCGCGGACACTGAGACGTGCTGCTTCTGGGCGTAGCACAGATCCGATGATCTCCCAAAGCAGTGCCACATGAGGCACGCTAGCGCAGCATCCTGGTAGTCCGCGTTGACGCGTGCAGTACTGTATACATAATGAACCAAAGACCTTAAATCCTCCTTAGTACAGGGAGGAGCCTTATTAGTTAAGCCACCATTGTCACGTTTTAAGCAGTGCTTATCCAGCGTTTTCCCTTGCTTGAGCAAGATTAACTCGGTAGAGACACGCAAGTGGGGATACTCATCAAACAGCCACAGCTTTACATTTCTGTAGTAGGAGGACGCAGTGTTTCGAGCAAGCTTACTTTTTTACCTTCGTTAGTTGCGAGATAATAGCCAAACCTGTCCATTGTTGCAGCTAAGCGTTTACCGGAGGTGTCGAGGAGAATGCTGGCTTGGACGAATTCCAAACTAACATTTTCCTCCTCCAACATCCGCTTAAATGCGCCGATGGCGCTTTT